GTACAAAAAAATGGAAAGAAACCAGAGTTCTCTACTGGATTAATGTTGAAAATGGACAAGAAAAAGACAAAACAGGGCAAAATAAAATGCATTAAAAAGTTTAGTTTTGTAAAATAATAACTGAACCAAAACATAAACCAAACCAAACATAAAGCTGCAAAATCCACTCCTGGAAAACTACTGAAAAACATAAACACAAGAAAGAAAAAACAGAGAATCAACAAAGAAAAGACGTGTAAAGATGGAAAGATATATATAACCATTGACAAGAGAAGATAAAAATGGCAGCGGACAAATAAAAACTAAACAAAACGAAGAAAAAAAAGAGTCTGAACCTTTCGAAAACCTTTGCAAGGACAGAAAAACTTGAGGACAAATATAAAAAAGACAAACAGGAAGAGCACATAGAAAGAGAAACCAGTCGAAGAGAGACATCTGTTTCCATCTGATTCATTCCTCAATCGATCCTCGATCAGAAATAAATATCATTACCATCTTTATCTTTGGCTTCAAGCTGCATCTTACAGCACAGCATCACGCTCCTTCTGCTTGATTCCCAGCAGTTTGGGGAGCAGCAGATAAAAGTTTAGCGCTTTCTGTTCTCTGCTTCTCATTAGCAAAAGTTGAGCTCAGCAAAGCAATAAAGTTGAGTCTCCACAGCAGCGTTTGATAACAGCAATAAAAAAACCTCATCAATTTAACTTTAATAATCCGTTCGAAGACGGCGCGGAATAGTGGAAGTCATCTCTGATAGCACACGGATAAAAATGATCCAAAAGTGATTATGAGAAGCTTATAACTGTAAAACATGACGCTTCCACTGAACTCTGATGTCCACACAACTCTCTTCTACTCAAAACATCGCTAAACTTTAATACAATCTCTATTTGTTTTTCATCTTTGTGGATTTGGTTATTTTTATGGTGCAGATATAAACCCGACACATGTTCTCTGTAAATACACACCGTATGAATAATTATAGAAGCGTTTTTCATCCTCCATAAACTATTCTGCAGATAAATCTCATGTGGAAGCAGCTCAAACCCTTCCCAGTTCAAACTGGTTTGGCTTATGGCTTATAAGAATGAGGACGAAAACGACTGGGAAGGAAATGGAAGGAAAGAGAGAAATGGAAAAAGAGAGACAAGCTTGAAGCCAAAGTGAGAGATATAGAGAGAAACCCATAGCTATAGACATGAAGAGAACAAGCAGACAGAACGAGTGTGAAATACTGAGAAATAATAGTCAAACACTGAGAAGAAGAGAAACAAAGAAAGAAAAGAAATATAAAAGACCTGAAAAAAAACAAAAACAAAAAAATGGTATAGGAGACAGTAAGAGATATAAAGACTGGGAGGAACATGGGCCAAAAGATTGACTGAGAAGCAGACGGGGAGAAAAAAAAGACATGTGTACATAAAGACGAATGGAGAGATAGACAGGAAGATAGAAAGAACAGAGCGCAGGACAGGCTGAGACCGAAATAGAAACATGATGGGGATTGATGGATAGACAGAACATGAAACAGAGAGAGAGACACAGAGAGAGAGAGAGAGAGAGAGAGAGAGAGATAGTCAGTTTGTCTCCTTTTTTACAGTTATAAAAAACTGATAGACAGAAAATCCAAAGTTCTGAGTCACAAAAATGATCTATCCATAACTAAATACGACTAAAACATAAACAATCCCACATGGAATAGAAACAAGACAGCGGAGGAACCCCTCGGAGAAACCATCCGCACTTTCAACACATTTATTGGTTTCTATTCTACAATTTCTAATGGGAAGCTTTTGCTCCATTACAATCGAGAAATCCAAAATCCAACATTTAAACTAAATATTTATCAGTAAACTTCCTTTCATCGAGTGCTTTCCTGAGAAAAAAGGAAAAGCCTTTTTTCTTTACCTCTTCTCAGATTGTTGAGCCTGTTTTTTTTAGGAATCTGCTTGCGAACTGTTCCAGGCGGTGCAATGTTTTTTCACTGGCTGCCGAACGAATTTCGTATTGATTCAAAACTGTATTATTACCGTATCTGAGTAACCTGCTCCTGGCTGATCTCCTTTAAAACAATTTTGTGTTATTATTCATTTAGAACCAGATCAATATCTGGATTTTTAGAAGGAAATCTTCATTAGCAGTTTCAGCAGAGGAGAAAAGAATGCCCCTCATCTTCAGAGACAGAGAACAGGAGAGAAGAGACAAAATGATGACCAGAGGAAGTTTCCTCAAGACACTCGACGTGATCTTCAAAGTTTTCAGCTTGGCCGTGTCAAACTTCATTACACGGAAAATCCAGTGGCCACTTTTTCATCAAGTTTCATCAGCCATTGGCTCAAAAACATAGAGAGATCAGAGTGGAGAAAGTTATCACGCTGTAAATGTAATTCTGTGAATCAGGACATCCTTTCATTCCGACAGGATTTAAGGCTGGACTGATTATTGCTGCATATTCCAATTTCATTCAGTTTATTCAATGTCATTTCTTCATAAAAGTCACTCATCAACAGGAGAACAGGTTACTCAATCTGGAGTGAAAGAACAGAAGAAATAGAAGGAACTACTGCCCCTGATTAACATTGAACCCCGAGGTTACTTTTAGAATTAGAATTAAAACAAACGGTTGAGTTTGCAGCCACAGCTTTACCAAAAAATAAAAAGAACTACCCTAGTAACCATCATAAAATCCCAACAACTCGTTATTACCATCACTATGGATTCTATAACCATCCGAATATTCAATCAACTCCAGACCACTACCCTAGCAACCATTTTAAAATTCCACCAACTCCATGTAACTACCCTAGAAACCATTTTAAAATCCGACCATGTCCATATACATGCCCTAAAATCCAAGATAATATTAAACTAAAGTTGAAACCCTACCCTAGCAACGATCATAATGCCAAGCAACTCCACACTACTACCCTAGCAACCTTTTTAAAATCCCACTAACTCCATGTAACTACCCTAGAAACTATCCTAAAATCCCATAAACTCCTATAACTACCCTAAAATCCATCTTAAAATGCTACCAATGTGGTATTAATGACGTAAAAACCCGCAAAAATTAAGCTAAAATTCAAACACTACCCTAGCAACCATCTGAATTCAGAGCAACTCCACACTACCACCCTAGCAACCATCTTAAAATCCTATAAACTTCTATAACTACCCTAGAATCCATCTTAAAATCGCATGTCCAAATTAATGCCTTAACATCCATGATACACTACCCTAGCAACCATCAGAATTCCAAGCAACTCCACACGAACACCCTAGCAACTATCTTAAAACCCAACCAACTCCATGTAATTATCCTAGAAACCATCTTAAAATCCTACCAAGTCCAAATTGATGCACTTACTATTAGAGACTATTAAAATCACCAGGCAACACTACCCTAGCAACCATTACAACACCCTGGCAACCATTAAAGCATTGGAAAATCCAGTACATTATTGGAAGACACTGAAAAGTAACTTCCTTACAATTGCATAGAAATAATTAACCATGCAATACACAAACAGATGTTTGTCTCTCCCTAGCAACGCATTGCAATATCCTAGCAACCACATCATTTTTCATTTCTATTACAACATGCAATACATCTGAATTTTGAGTGTGAAAACACGCTAGTTTTGTTTGTAGCCAGAGACTGAAACTCCCCCACAGCCTCGTCTTTCATTTTTCTTTCAAGATTTAATGTAATAACTTTCTCTACTTGTCTTCTTTTTAGGCTCAATTATTTCCTCCCTCTGTTTAATCTTCCTCTTCTGCCCGTGGGACGCCGCGTCTGACAGGAAGGAAGAAATAGATGATGTGGAGGGTCTGGTGCAATCTACCGCACTTTAATGTAAAATACCCACGAGAATCCATCCCGACGGACGCACGCCAGAAAAAAACACAACTAAAACACCAGCGATGGGAGGGAGGGAGAGGATATGAAGACGCATGGAGTCCTACACATAATGTTCACGTCTCGAAGAAGAAGAAAGATGATGCGGGAGATAAACGTAATAGCGCTAGACCCATGTGTTGAAATCAGTGCTTCTAGAAGCCTTTTGTTTGTCTCTTGTTATAAAAAAACCCTGGCTCCCAGTCTCACTCAACCGTGCTCCGCTTAACCAGAGCGCACCATCACTGTGCTAGAGTAAACCACTGACGCTAGTAAAGGTCAGGCTGACACCATCGCCCCTCAGAGCTAAAGATCACCAATCCACCCGAGAGTCTGTGTGTTTCTCACCGGCCCGAGAGTGAGGCTCTCAAAGCTCTCGGCTAAAGGGAAGACTCTTGCGCATGCTAACCATGCTAAAGACGCTCATAAATCCAGTGTGAAGTGCTGCGGTCAGCGTTCAGCCCCCACTCAGGTTATGCCAATGCGGCCTCAGCTGAATCCCATCCAAACACTCTGAAGAGAAGCTTCCCATCACTTCCCATCACTCCCAATACCAGCAAACCACCCCCCCCCCCCCAAAAAAAAAAAAAAACCCTACTGTAATCGCTCAGAGTTTTATTGTTTTTGGTGCTTTCGGCACATTTTGGAGGGGCCAAACAAGCTGAGTGGGTGTTAACATGTTTTAGCTTATGGTGCTCTAGATATTTGTCCGAGACGTGTAGAGCACCAAGACTTAAATAGAAACAATATAGATTGTGTTTCCAAAATCGACAGGAAGACTAAAATTCCCCATTCAATAAAATCCTCCGGCATCTGTTCACCACCAAACTCCATCGTTCTAAGTCACACGGGATGTTAACTTCGAAGCGTTTTTTACTTCGAACGCAAAGATAACTATGTGCGCACAACGGCCATCGAAAAAAATAAATATACCTCAGCCATACGACGTCTGAGCAATACCAAACTCAGTATGTTACCCGTCCATGTCTGAACCCATCTACACAGCAATCTACTGTATCAGTTATAGCGCCACCAGGTGGCCACAGGAAACGCAGCGATTAAGATTGATGGTGTACTTCTTTTACCAAATGTGGCATGTGTGGCAGCTTTTCTGTAGCTCAGTTGGTAGAGTATTGCGAAAACAACGAGAAGGTCATGGGTTCAGATCCCAGGGAAAGCAGGAACTGACACCAATGTGTTCATTCTTTCAAAAGTGTATCTACCAAATGCATAAATGTAATGTGTGACAATGTGGTCCAACACAATAAAAGAACAATTTTTAATCTCAATCACAGCGCCACCTCGTGGTAATTAGGGCTTTTTATTTTTTAGCCTGTTTTTTCTGAAATTCTAACACTTGTTGCTTGACATCTACTAATTTGGGTTTGGTCATAATGCAGAGCGCAACAATTTGCCCTAGGAGTGATGGTGCCTGAGGTGCTTGCGCCCTTTGATTGCTGCTCGCAGCTTTAATTCTAGGTTAAATCCTTCTAGAGCCAGTAGGATGCAGTTGTGTTGTATTTTCCTTGTATTTACAGAAGTTATTGTCAGTACCGTACACCGTGTGCCTCTAAAACGCTTAACATTAATCACTGAATCCCAGCAGAACGTTTTGGTGCTCAAACTTGTTTCAATATTAAACGTAGCAGAAATTATTTCTGAAAAAGTATTTCCCAAATAATTTACTTCCATCAATAGGATCAAGCATTAGAGAAAGAATGGGCCACTCTCAGGAGCTCGGTGAACTCTGGAGCGCAGAAATGCCACTTCCCCAGACAGAGTGCCATGCAGCAGCAGAGACAGCAGAAGCCCCTGCTGTGTTCATGAAAGCTGCTCTTTTGTCCTGCGCCTTTCATTTGAATTCCTCAGAAAATTTGGCAGATTTAACACCAAACTTGTTTCCTCAAAGTAAAAACCAGTTGTTTTTTAAGAAATATCATCAGGAGTCAGGAGAGTTAGTGTTTCGAATCCTAGTAAATCTACGGTTTGACAGAGAGAAACCTACCCCTGCAGTGGCTCAACACAGAGAGAAACCTACCCCTGCAGTGGCTCAACACAGAGAGAAACCTACCCATGCGGTGGCTCAGCAGAGAGAAACCTACCCCTGCAGTGGCTCAACACAGAGAGAAACCTACCCCTGCAGTGGCTCAACACAGAGAGAAACCTACCCCTGCGGTGGCTCAGCACAGAGAGAAACCTACCCCTGCAGTGGCTCAACACAGAGAGAAACCTACCCCTGCAGTGGCTCAACACAGAGAGAAACCTACCCCTGCGGTGGCTCAGCGAGGGTTCATCTGAAATCAGCGGCAGCAGTTATACGCACAGGAAATCGATATTGCTTGAGTATGCGCGAGCATGAGGCTGTTTACGGTTAGCACGCCTTAGCAACACGACACTGCACTTCCACCAGAAATCCATTAGCGTGACATTACTGCCTGATGTCACTTCCTGAAAGTCCTCTGGTGTCCTGTAGGAATTTCTCTGTGACAGGACACACATCGTACTGACAACACACACGCACACGCTGAGCCCGTCGAAACGGAGACTCTCAGGGGAAGAAAAGCTTGCAGCGGAGACCTACAACCACTCGACCAAAACACAAAGTACTCCATCCTCAAAAGCATGATGTGAAACTCAGGAAGTAGTCAGTGTACCCTAGCAACCAAACAGAAACACCATAACAGTGACCGGATTAGTAACGGCAAACATTTTAATGAACTAATGTGAATAATGAACATTATGATGCTTAGAAGAACCTAGAAACCTGCAGGTCTGACTTATTTATTCAATATTATCAACTAAACATATTTACTCTCATTTTAAAAGCAACGAATAATATTATATGTTCAATAAGATTTAAAGGTTCAAACAAGCAATTAACTAATAAACACACCATCAACCAAACAAATACCAGCGCTGTGATTTAATCCAGATAGATAAGATAATGTCTGATTAAGATTAGAGTGTTCGGGTCGTGCTTGTGCGTATTCCTTTATTCCTGACATTTCTTCTCTGTTTCTTCTCACACCGTTTGCCATGGTTCCATCCAAAATAATTGCGAGAACAATATCCTCATGAACGGGCATCAAATATCAAAAGAAAAATGAAAGTTGCTGCGTCAGGAGAAGGATTTTTCACACATGCTTTTAAATATTTAACCACATGTTCTTGCTCTTATTTTTTGCAAACATTTGTTTATTGTAAAAAAAATAAAGCCACAATTGCCAAATTCTGAATGTTTTTGGCTTTTTTAAAGTAAGAAAGAAAGAAACTTTATTGTGCATAATCTTTACTAGATCTTATTAATGAATCATTGTATTTTTGATGACAAATGTTCATTTTTAAACAACACATTTTTAATAAACTAAATATTAATCTACATGGACAAAAACCTACTTTTGGAATGTGTCAAAATCTAAGACTTTTACATTAATGTGTCACATCAGAGCGCGGCGTCCACATCGACTTCGAAAGCGCACAAGAGAGAATTAGCAGATGTACGAAAAAGAGAGACCAGACTGTGACAATTATTCTACGTCCTGGAAAAGCTCCTAATTCACATCAAATCATATTTGTTTTTTTATTTCTATTCATTTATACACAAAAGAGAAACAGTGAAACAATTAAAAGTGTAAGTCTCTCTCTACTGTGTGCCCGAGAACATCCATCACATTAAACCTCCAGATGAAAGAGAACAGATTCGTTATTTAGAAAACATTTCTGTCAAACGAAAACTGTTCACTTCATCTATTTATACTCAGTAATTACGAATCTGTGGTAGCAGGGGGTACGTGGCAGTGGAAAAAGTGTTTTTGTAAAACCTAAAAGGCTGAGACTGATGCAAACGGCAAGTAAAAAAAGAAAATTCCCAAAGAAACGGCTTCTTTCACACCATAAACAGATCGACCCGAACGAACCCGGTACAAGATCCCAGGGAATTTCCTTCTCCAAAACAAAACGCTGCTTGTAAGTCACTGGGAATCTGCTCAAATAGCTTTGTTCTTCTCATGGAAGGCCATTAGAGCAGAAATGAGGCTTTCACTGAAGAATTACAGCCGTAATAAGAGAGTGGAGGGGTTCAGGCCAGACAAGCACCCTCAAAACAATCTACACGGACAAGCTCCCCATCGAAACGCCGGCACAGGTCACTTCAATTACCGCCAGAGAGACCTGGAGCAGAACCGCCTGTGATTGGCTCCTCGTGATGCATGCGCTTCCTTTAATGAGCTCCGCTGCTCCGGAGGCGATGGATGCTCTTTTTGGAGCACCATTATGAAGATGTTATTGCAAATGTCAGGGCAATAAATACAAGCGTGCACTTTAACGAAAAGCACCTTTGTTTCTGCGTTACGGGTTTCTTTACATCTATAAAAGGAGCGGCTCAAAGCGAACGTTTACTCTACGTTTAAAACGATAAAACGGTGGAATCCTGAGCATCGAGGATACTGTTTGATAACAGACGAGCTTATAAAAGAACAAACACCTGACAAAGATTGAAGAGAAAGAAACCCTCCTGAGGAAAAACCAATGACAGCGGACTGGTTTCCCGAGGCACTGCAGACGGACCAGAGACTTTCTGGGGAAAGTAACCATTTAAATGTAAATAGCGGAGACCTACACGAGACTAGGAGAGTAGAACATCGATCACACTGGCGAGAGAATGAAGCAACGAGGGAAAACCTTCGGGAAGCAGCCAGTCAATGAAGAGGAACGAGCTGCAGGTGACCGGAGTAAACTTACATCTTCTTCTAGGCTTTAATGGATTAACCAACGGAGAGAAAATCGTTCTTTTTTTGAAATCGTTCTAAAATTCCTAAAGTCTGTCAAAGTGGTTCGGAGCCATTACCTCCCAGAACTGTTTAGACTGGCTGGCTTCCTAAAAGAGCAGTCTCCGCCTCCAAAAGCAAGATCACATGACTTCGTGTATGACAAGTTGTTATATACAGAAAAAAATCCACCTAATGCTACAACTTTGTTTGATATTTGCCGTTAGTTTATCAGGAACGTGACTGTTTTGTTCTCTTGGACTCGTTGAATGGAAACAGTGCTTTATTTGCAAATATTTTATTAGTTATTCCAGTTTGGCGCATTAATTTAATTGTCATCTTTGGATGGAAACATGGTTTTTAAAACTATGGCAATTCCCTGGGACCTGATGACATCATAATAAACTTCAATCCCATTGGATGGTCAACATAGGGATAGCTAATGAATAATAGAGTTACAGTAAATAGTAGGATTACATGGAGGATTAGGATCTAAAAGTAAATTGGACTTTCAGTCGAAGCAGGGGATGATTATTGAAGGAAGACGCTAGAGTTAGAGATGTTAAAAACTGAGGAAAGCAAAGGAACACTTCCTCAAACAAGTTATCATTTACTTTCTTCATTTACAAGTAAACATAATAATGGTTTTTTTGCTTGCTATTGTTTGTATACGGGAAAAATGTTGAAATGAAATCCCTACTCTCTCTCTCTCTCTCTCTCTCTCCTATTTCATTTCCTGTCTTCCTCTTCCATCTTGTTTAAAAATAAAAAAAAACATTATAGTTTCTCCTGAAGTGCTTGAATAAACTGGTTTGAACTTCCACAAAGTTTGGTTGACTGAAATGTGAATGTTTTGACAAACAAGTGCAGAAAGCTTAATTTACTCTGGAAAATGTTGGATTTTAACATTGGACCACAAACATAAAAACAAATCATGTGAAGGACGAAAGTTAATTATGGTTTTGAGGGCCAGGTTCTACCAATCTGCTGCAAAAACATATCCATCAACAGCCGCAAACAGCCCTGAAAACCAGTTTAAGCTTGAAATTGCCTCCATGTAGTGATGATACACATTCCAGAAATCACACGGCAGCCTCAGAAACAACAAACTACTTCCTTTCAGTCTGGTGAAGGCTCAAAGCTCCGAAGCAACTCACTTTACCCTCGTTAACACGTATGAGTCAAAACCGCATCCTGACCATTGTGAAAACAGCACTTAAAGCATCCAGACAGCACCAGGATTGTCACCTTAAATGGTTGATCACCGGGGCACTGGAGGACAAGGCAACGTACAAACACAGCCGCGAGGAAACGTTAGCATTGTGCTGATAATGCTTTTGAGTGTGTTTTAGTGGAAGCAGCTGCTTCTCTGATTCAAATGTTCAGTTGTTCAGCATCCTTTAAAAATGCTCTG